CGTCGACAAGAGAAACTGGGAGTTCTTGATTAACGATAAGCCGGATAACTGCATTTGTGAGGTTTCTCCTGTTAAGAGATCCCATCTTGAAAAAAAAAGAAAAGTATGAGAAAAAAAAAGGAAAGTATGACAAAACTTGAATAAAAATTTGAAAACAAATATACTTACACTACTAGTCTTTCCACTTGCAGAAAAGGCTGTAAGGGTTTGTTGAGAGGTGTCGATCGGAGCAACAATGCCATGAGCACGCAAGAGATGGCGGCTCATAGATTTGGTACTTCCAGTCTTATCGATGGCGATCGGATCTTGACACACAACAACAGGGGCCTCCAAGTCTGGAACTGTGTCAACACGACCTTTGTTGGCACGGCAGACATTTGAGGTGGTGCCGTCCCTGAACGTAACGGTTGAAAAATACTGCCACACCCAAGAGGTACGGTTGGTGGCAGTATGTTCGGATTCGACGGCACTAGCCACCGCGGAGACTGAGTCGGATGGTGCGATTGAGTTAGAAGTCGTACTGGAGGTGGTGGACATGTTGGTGTTGGTGGTGGTGGGTTGTGGATCGGTGACCTCACGACGAAGGCTTCGTCGTGACATTGGGGTGGATGATGGGGTGTGAAAGGGTGCGAGGGTATGCGGAAAAGGGGTGGAAGGTGTCTCAACAACCCTTTCACCCCTTTGTTGGGCCAGGATTTTACGGCGGCCCTGGCCCCGAGTGGCCCTGGAACAGGGCCGTTGGCTCTATCATCAGGTTAGGGCTAGGGCCCCGGACCGAGCCCCGTGATGACTTCAAAACCCCTCGGGCAGACTCGGCCGGGCAGGGCCAGGGCCGGGTCATACCCCTACGCACGCGTTAGGAGGGGAGGCGCACCCCATATCTTTGGAAGGACGGGTCAAACGCACCCCAATGACTTTTCCTGGTCACTGACTCTTGCTAACATGACAAAAGCGAGATAGGGCTATGTAGAACACTCCTGTCCCTTTGGCTTTGAAGGCAGTCATGAAGTATGAGATCCAGCCCAACGGGCGCGGCATACGCGCTCGTGAGGGGCTTGGTTAAGCTTAGGTGCAGCTCAAAGACTCAGGATTGCATCCAAGTGCAGCCACTTTTTCAAGAACAACCCTCACCCCTGAAAATGGAACTCCAGGTCCACAGAGATTCACACATATTTTGAACGAGATCCATGTGGAAAGAATTTTGAAACTGTCCTCCAGCATCAGAAGGTCATCTTGACCATAGTTTTTAAAAGCAAACCATGATCATATAATCACATCTAGATACTGAAAAAGTGGATGACTTGTATGGGTTCTGTTCCCTACTCTTCTTTGTTGGTCAAGCCTGCCTCTCGATATCAGGTCATACTACCCTTTCAGCTCAGGGGTTCAATGCTTAGCTTCTGGAGTATTACTTTTGTTAACTTCATCTTTTGTTGTACTTTTTCTTTCTTCATTGAAGGTTAATATGCTTTGTTTGACGCACAATATTGATCTGTTCCCTACACTTCTTTCTTGGTCAAGCCTGTCTACAGATATCATGTCTTAATTTTTTCTTCATTCCATCTTTTTTACGCGTATTTTCTTTCCTGTTTGAAGCTCAATAAGACAGGCTTTTTCGAAGCTTTTCTTACAGAATAGCAATGGCAGATTTCCTTTCCATTTGTTGGCCACATGTAATACCCTGATTCATTTTGTCTCTTCCTTTTCTTATGTTGTGCTTTCTAAGGGTGTTGTTCTCTTACCTGTACATTTTTCAAAATGCAGCATTTCTCTTTTCTCAGATCCTCCCTGATTCATCCAACAATGTTGTAAACCATATTCTTACATATCATATCTGGCCATTCCCATCTTACTTTGATTTCTGAAATGCTCCTACCATGTACCTATCTATGGTATATTGGTATTTTGGAGAGATGGACATCTATATAAGACACCCATCCCTTGCTAGTGGGATAAATCCCCAAGCATCTCCTCCAACCGTTCCCCATACCAAAATCTATTCAACCATCACAAATAGTTATTTGGGAGTAATGAGCTTTTCTTTTCCCCTAACACTTCCAAATTTCCCTCAAAGAAGTTACCATCTGTTTAAACCATGGTATTTCCTTGTCAGCCTATCCACCAAACTTCCACATGATCCCATATGAAACAGCCAACACCACACTTCAAACAACTTTGTAAATTATCTGGATCTCCTACCTAGTTATTTGAATATATCACCAAACTTTTCCTCCTACAAACCTTTAGGTAAAAGAAACCACCCAGTCAACAAACTCACACAAACTATTATCAATGACTGACATTGTGCAATACCTTTTAAGGTCTCAGAATAAGAATAAATTAAGAGTACATGTATATATAATTTAATCAGAGACTCTGATCAAGTCTCACAATAGGAATTCACAAACTTACCTTTTTTGACAAACAGAAAAAAGAACCATGGACAAACACCAAGGTTTCATCCAAGTTCCCATCAAGGACATCAGCTTGATCCCAGCTCCAACTCACCAAACAAATGTGGACACCTAAAACACTGTGCAAGCTCATACGCAAGCTCCTGCTGAACTTCTGGACCAACACCAACATACATACTTTCAACAGTGCCTGGAGTTGGCCAACACCAAGAACATCCTAAAACAACTCATAAGCCCAGCACCTTCTGGGCCAAGCCACACAAGTTTGCACGCTATGTGGACAATGCTCAATTGCTCTGGCTCCTGGAACAAAAGTCAAACTTGTGAATACATCCTGCATTGGAATGGGGCACAATGCTGGGAGCCTACTTGGACAAGGAGCACAAGTGGTTCCAGCTAAAGGTTTGAAACAACTCTGGCAGAATCATCCCCAGCTACCAAGATTTCTGTGCAAAGATTTTAGAAAAAGACAAATTCAGTCTAATCCTTGAGGAAATCAGAGAAAAAATCAAGATATGTTATTACCATAACATCATGCATTATTACATCCTCAGATTCAGGAATTAGTTGTGCTCCCAAATACCCAATAACAATCATAGTTTCTTAGTTAAAAATTTGCCTGTCTCAATGAACTTCCCCCAACCATCCGTCAATGTGCAAATCGATAAGAAGTTATTGAAAGGGAATACAAAGAACTCGTATACACAGAGGCTAGAGACAGGTTGAAAAATGAGGGTCAATAAGGACCCCTGATAGCACCACCAAAGGCCCATTGTCTGGCTGGAGCCAAAGTGCAATTTTTAGCAAATATGTTTGTTGTGAAACCTGGAGCCAAAAAGCCAAATTTTTGGATTTTTCTTTTCTAAGGTCATTGTGCCCTTGGAGCCAAAACCACTGGTTTTTTATTCCAAACTTTTATGTGTATTGTTTCCACAGAGCAATTCCATGTAGTCATACTGGCCACAGTCTCAGTCCAGCCAAAAACGCAAGAATCACCTAGACACACCATTTTAAGCACTTTTACTCTCCACAAAGTCACATGGAAATGTCCACCAGCCAAAGCAAACCCATTGACATGGATACAATGCTCTCCAAATGTCCTTGAAACCTGTGTGGTATCTGTAATATAACAAAGAAAGGAGGTTTGTTTTATTTAATTTGCCATTGTGGTCTTCAGAAGAATGAAAGTAAACTCCAAGGTACATGTAGTTGGAATGTTCCAGCAAATTTCACTTAAATTACAAAGAAAAGTCGGAATCCACCACAGTCAATCTGATATAAGATCTTGGTACATATGTCATATAAAGCCATGCAAGGAAAAGACCATACTTATGAGTTCACTTATACCAATCAGCTCAATTTGTGTCAAGCAACAAGGAACTTTTGAAGCTTCTGCTCCGCATCAACCCGCCAAGAAACAAAAACAAAAACAAAAACAAGGTTTTTTAATGTCCAAAGGCTGTGGACTTTCTGAATTCTTATTTCTAAAAATATTCTTTTTTCAACCTTTTTCTCTAATTTTTTTTGTTTCATCCAAGGCCTTTGAAATGCCCAAATCCAAGTTCCAGATGGTTGTTGTCTTCCTGGAGCCAAACCAGGCAAAATTTGGTGCACTTTTTAAATGTATGTGGTCACATTGGAGCCAAAAATGGGATTTTCAGCAAAAGTCAGCAGATCTACTCAGAGCTAAAAGGGCCAAAAATTGAGTTTTGACACAATGGACCTTTATAGGGCCTATCAGGGGTCCTGGTCAATAACCAACATCATAAACCATCCAATAGCAAGAATCCCCATGACAAAAGGTGTAACTAGCACTCCACTCAAAAAAACTTCCATCTCCAACCTGAAAACTTTGGAAGACCTCACACTGTTGCCAACCCCTCTGGGCCAATGGACTTGGAAATGAATGATAAGGCTAAGGTAGAATGAGTGTAACTTTTGCACAATAGCACTGATTTCAAGGAGTCCATGGTGGTAAGTTCTTGCCTTGAATCCCCCTGTCGAACTCCTTTGACCTTTTACTCCATATAAGACACTCTGTCAGGGATATTGCATGAACATGCCTTCACAAGTACATCTAAGTCCTTTATACCTTTAATTGTTTTTCTGCTGTCAGGAGAGTTGCATATTTGTCATTGTAGAGCAGATTTTTTTGAAAGATTTGATACCTGCAAGTCAGGTAGGGCCATTAAGGATTGAAACAGGATTGTCTCTGATTGCATGCATCAACTGGCAAAAACCCTTTGCAGAAAAATGGGCTCCATAGCAGCTCATTCTAACAGTCATACCCATCACATTCACATGGTACTCCAAGTCCAAGGGAATTGTCAACCCCTTACTACCTGCAAAGTCAACCGGGTTCATCTGGCTTCCAGAACTTTTCCATTCAATAGCATTTAATCTGACAAAGGTGTAAGAGGTGAAAATTGCACCTCGGACCCTGCATACAGTAGCCGCACTCATCAAATATAACATGTGCTGTTGGAAACGTAAGTACCTTATTATATTCACTGCATCAACTTTGATCCTTTGGCATTCATTGTCCCCTCAAAGGAATTTGCAGTTCTGATTGTGGTTCATCAAGCTATTTGAAAGAAGCCGAGCTTTCATAGCAGAATAAATGTGTTGTGATAGTAACAAAAAGATTTTTTCAACTAAACAATCCAGTACAAAGTCTCTTACATGGTGTGCATTATCATGCGCTTCTCTCGTTCACCTGTGACCACAATCTGTCCTTCAGCTACCAATGTTTTTACCACCTCACCGAAGTCGGAAGAATCAACAGGGATACTACTTTGGCTTTCAATCGCTTCATGTAGTTCGGTCCACCGCACCCCACCATGGTATTTGGAAGAGCTCAATAGAGCCACCAGCTCGCGTTTGAGGTCTTCCAACATTTTTCTCTGATGTTGTCCTTGGCCAGTCTGCAAGAGATCAAGATCTGCAGCGTGCAACACAAAAGTTAGCGGGGGGTAAGATGTTGGTTGTTGTTACCAGACGAGCTTACCAATCAAACCAGTCACAGGATCCGTGGCACTTTCTTTGAGAGCTTCGCGGATCAAACGACTGGCTTCGTCGACGTCTTGCAACTCAACAGTTTCGCTGAAGCGCATTCGGGCATGTGCTTCACTCAACCTTATCATGCTTTCCAGCTGCCTAGTTGTCGCAGTGATCCGTCTTTCACTGGTACGGCTGTCTTCACCGGCTTTACGCATGGAGATGTAGGCACGGACAAGCGATGAACAAGCATCCTCGGTGAGGACAGGGTGAATACGGTTCCGTGCGAAAGAGATGTAGGATGTCAAAGTTTGAACCGGCTAAGTGTCGAAATATTATCAGCTCTGGCGTTCACCACTCGACAAGTTTTGTCAAACATCAAAGGAGACGTATCGCTTACCAAGATATCATCACCACCAGTGGGCGGCCTATCCTCCAAGTATAAACCTACGAGATGTTTAGCAAGTCTCCGGTCGGAAATCTCATCGATCTTGTCGAGAACGAGATATAAAAGATCAAAACGAGAAATCAGAGTGGGTGGCAAATCAATGTTTTTGGTGATAGGCCACGCCAGGTTGTACTTGGATCCGACGGGGTTCGCCGCAGCTAGGATCGATGTACGGGCATTTAATGTTGTGATGATGCCAGCTTTGGCAATGGACACAGTTTGTTGTTCCATCACCTCGTGAAGCACTGATCGGGTCGAATCGGACATCTTGTCGAACTCGTCAATGCAGCAAACCCCACCGTCGCTGAGGACCAATGCTCCACTCTCGAGCACTAACTGTCGAGAGTCTGGATCACGTGTCACATATGCTGTAAGACCGACAGCAGATGACCCTTTGCCAGATGTATAGACACCACGAGGTGCAATTTTGTGCACATACTACGTGACAGACGTGCGAGTCAGCGAATGTGGAACTTTGATTGATTGATAGCATAGATAAATGACGATGATGGCATACCTGCAAGATTTGGCTCTTACTAACACCAGGGTCACCAACGAGCAACACATTTATGTCACCTCTGTAGCGAGGGCCACCTGCACCACCCCCACGGCCAATAGTCTTATTTGTTCCGCCAAAGAGTTGAAGAAGAATTCCCTTCTTGATGTCGTCCATCTCCCACACACTGGGTGCCAAGGACCGAGCCAAAACATCGTATATGTCCGGGCGGCTGGACAATTCCACCATTCTTTCCTCCATTTCAGCACGGGTTTGATGATTCGATGTATTACCACGGACGCGTTGTTGAACGTTGAGGGCATCGGCAGCGTTTCCTCCATCATCGTCTTCTCCTCCCACACCGATCCCGCCTCGGCCCACGCCACTATCACCATCACGGGTACTTAAATCCACACCCAAACGTCGAGAGTCACTCCGCTTGATATGCAGAACATCGAGATAAGTCTTGAATAATGTCTTGATGACTCTCTGTCGAGGATTTACTCGGACAGGAACACTCCTGAATATACCAGTCACCTCTACTCGATCCCCCGGCTTTGAGATATCCACGAGCTCATCGTACACACAAAGACTAACTGTGTGAGGCGTTTGGCCGTCTGGAACCTCGTCAGGCGTTTCTTGCAGCCTCACCACTTGTCGATCAGCAAAGTCGCATCGATTATGAACCAGACTCATCCCACCGGGCTGGCCACACACATCCCGAGGGCATTGAGCCGGCTCAGCGATCTTGCCACGATCTATTTCAACTGTTGTGGCGTGGCCACAGCTCAAGCAGCGAAAAAAAGCCTTCTTCATGTCAGGTATTACAGGCGTTGCTCGTATGACAAGCCCCTTGACGGATACAACCTTGTCAATATCGCCGGGATTGAGGTCGCGCATATTGGCGCCGCCTTGCATTGATTTGCCCGTTGAGATATGTGAACTTTGAGCTGATTGGTTGACTAAGCCAAAGGGTCTGACCTTGAATGTCATTAGCTCAAGCATCGCAATCTGATCATCCCCAGCAATCCCTTGAAGCTCAGGTGCCCCAGTATCACGATCTTCCTCTGCCAATTCAATGGCACAGTCTTTCAAGACTTGATCAAAGGCGGGAATGACCTCTTGAGGGTAACGCACAAGTTTGTGGTATTGACTCTTCGAAGGCGGATAAGCCAATATGTTGGCCATGTCAAGGTTTAGGTTCGATTGAGACTTTGCGGTAAGAGAGCAGGTGTGTCAGTCATCAATCTGTAGGGACGAAGTCATATGTAGCACCCACAGTGAGTCGCATCGTCCTTAGATAATCAACATACAACAAATCTTCGGCACCATCCTGATTTGCCACTTGCTCAACGGGCAAGTTCTGGTCATACGCCATGCGATATTTACGTTTAAAATTCAGAAGGAATCGGCGAAAGCTTTGCATAGTTTCTGAGACGGATACCAACGTGCCCCAAATTACAGTTTGATCGGCAGATGGTGGTTGCATGGCCTGACTAGACAAAGATATGGCGTTCGAGGGTCGGTCGCTGGCAATAACATCATGGGCAAGAGCATCGCTGGATCCCTGGTGAGCACGGGAAGCTATTGCAGACGACAGATGAGGAAGTGTGGAATGTATATCCCCGCGACGATTCGGAGGAAGACGGGCACGAGGAGTGCCCCGGTTGGAGGAGCTGGTTCGAACGAGCCAAAACGATCACACGATTAGAAAGCGGTCCACAATGCCAGGGACAAAGAATATGAAGCGATTCTCACGACGGAAAAAACAAAGGCTCGCTTGATGCAGTGCTGCCCTGCGTCTGTCTCGGCCCGCGTACGGTGTCAGCTGAGCTGGATGGGAGACGAAGTGGAGAAGACGACACAGGTCCTAAGAACAATCGATTTTTCGGTCAGTGCTGGTCATTAATGCGGAAGCTATGAACACACCTCGCGGATCCACGTCTAGATGGGCATTGTGACGGCTAGGACGGTCAGTTCCACTTGAAGAACTGGGAAACATCATCGGACTACTGTCGAGGTTTGAAGGGAGATTGGGCTGATCACCGGCAGGGTTGGGGCGCGGGGTTGACATCTTCGGCCTGGTGATAAAGCTGGCGATTGAAAGAAAACAAAGAGGGGAGATGTGTTGCAATACGAGACACCAAGAATTGAGCACGTCAAAACGACGCGATCCAGCCAATCACGGTCACATGCGGGGCTCGCCGCTCGGCACCCCCGGGGTACTGAGAGCATACACCACGGGAGGGTATTTTGTCAGAAATTGGCCTGACGCTGTCTGAGAATGGTCAGGTCAGAATACGGCCTGAAGACTGACTGCAGGCCATCTATTGGCGGCCTGCAGTTGGGCATACCTTCGCCATGCAAATCTGTCCAAAATTAAGACTGAGGAGCGGCCTGCAGGCCATTGATAGGCGGCCAGTCGCCGGGCATCCTTCATGCGGCTCAGTCCGACCGGAAGTCAGCCTGAAAATGGCCAATAGACCGCCTCCAGTCGGCTGCCACAAACGGTGCTCAAGAGTCAAGTTGCGGACTTTGCAAAGTCCGCAACTTCACAGATCTGTCTGGTCAAATGTCACATGATCATCCCTGGCCTCCTATTCGAAAAGGAAAAACTTTCGAAGTCCTTTTTCCACTCCAAAAAGGAGACAGCTCAGTTCAACCTCGTCGTGCTCTAGAACATTTGAATTCTCAGCTTTCTCTTCAACTATCATTTCTGCTGGTACTGTCGTTCCCAAAAAGGTTGCCACATCGACAAAAGTTTTTTGCTGAGGTGGTCTGTGAGCGCTGTCAGAATCTGACAAGAGAAGACAGCACAGAACCTCTCTCTCTTTCAAAGTCCTTAGCTTTGAAAGAGAGAGAGGGAACCCTCTTTTTGAAATCCACGACCCAATTCTTCTTCCCCCATTATCCACCAAACCACCACGTCCGTTTCAAAATTTATTTTTTAATTTCTTATTTAGGTCATTGCTTCTACTCCAGAACAAAAGAAAACGTTTGGCTCAATTCCTGTCGACTTTCAAAATTCAATTTTGCTTTCTGATTTAGGTCTTCACTTCCGCTCAAAAAAAACGATCGATCTGCTTAACCTGGACCCTTTGACTTCAAACTTGCTTTTCAAATTATAACTTGCGATAATCAGTATCGGTTCATCTTCAACCAATCGGATGTCATCGATTCGCTTCCTTGTTATCTTCTTTTTGATCATTTGTTTTCACCTTCAACCACTTGGACACAGTAATTTGTAGTTTTCTTTTGGTCATTGATTGCTTTTCAATTGATATCTTAATTTTTTTTCAAAGTTTGGTTGTAACAAGTGATCGATAGGAAAGAAACAAGAAAGATCTCGATTTCAATGTAAACAGATAACAAACTGAGCAGGTTGATGTTCTTTTCAACTAAGGTTGAATTCTTTCCAAGCGAGGTCCATCTCTCATGTTGAAGAAATCATGAGACGTGGACACATCTGTTTTTCAAAAAGACAGAGGTCATTGAATTTGTTTGCTGGCAGTTTTAGTGCTCACTCGGTATCAGTTTTAGGTCCGAATTGAGGACACCTCAACAGAATATAACCCTCTCAGTGAGAGACAAAGGCTTATTATCATTATGAAAATGAACAAAAAGGTTAAAGCCCTTTGTGATTGCATCAATTGATTCGATTCGAGTCAATTGCTTTTGACTTTTTTTTGGTTGATCGGCTCAATCATTGGTTCAATCTGCACTGATCAAATCGATGAGGAAAACTAATAACGAACCGGTAGATTTCATTTTAACAGTCTATCTACTAAACCAACAAACAAAAGTTCTTCTCCAAAACTGATTTGAGTCGGACAGGTTATCATCAAAACTAAGTGATTTACAGGTAACTAGATAGGGCAGATAAATTCTTTTCAAAAGCCAATCTGAAATGAAAAGACAATTTCATGAGGTTTGAGTCAAACAGGATAAGCAGATGGCTCGAGTGGTTTGAGTGATCTGAAGAACTAAAAAAAAGGCCAAAATCGATTTTGAAAAGCGAGTTTGAAATCAAAGGGACCAGGTTGAGCAGATCGATCGTTTTGTTCTGAGTGGAAGTGAAGACCCATATCAGAAAATAAAATTGAAATTTGAAGGTCGACTTTTTTTGTGGGGAATTTGTTAAACTTGATATGCCAGTTAAACTTGAGTTTTAAAGCCGCGTTGAGTGAAGACCTAAATCACAAAAAAAAGATTGGAAAGCCGAGTTTTGAGTCGAAGGGAGAAATTAAAAAATAAAATTTTGAAACGGACGTGGTGGTTTGGTGGATAATGGGGGAAGAAGGATTGGGTCGTGGATTTCAAAAAGAGGGTTCCCTCTCTCTCTTTCAAAGCTAAGGACTTTGAAAGAGAGAAAGGTTCTGTGCTGTCTTCTCTTGTCAGATTCTGACAGCGCGCACAGACCACCTCAGCAAAAAACTTTGGTCGATGTGGCAACCTTTTTGGGAACGACAGTAACAAGCTTTTTGTCGGTAACCTCGCCTGGTCTACCAACACAAACAGCCTCACCCAGGCTTTCAATCCATTTGGTGAAGTCGGTAAGTCAAACCTTATTCCTCTGTGATCGGGTGTTTGCTGATTAGTGCTATTATCATTCCTAACGTTGTCTATCAGTCGATTCAATTGGTAAGTTATTGAAATGGGACCGTCAAACTCACTACTATAAATAAGAAATATTGCCAAAGGCAATACCCGTGTTTGGTGCGAATCCCAAGGCGTAAGCCCCGGGTATATAAAATTACTTGAGCAAATGATGAAACACGCCCTACGGGGTGGCTAGGCCCATACATAAAATATAAGAAAAATGACAACTATAACTACTATATATGATAAGGACTAGGAATAAAACATGACACTTTCCTTTCAACAGCCTTAGATAGGGAGAAGGAGGGAGGGTTGAAAAAATTTATAACTGGAAAGATAGAGAGAAATTCTTGAGTTTAATGAAATTTGTTGACAATAGTAACTGCTATGGGAAAGTTGAGGATGATGGTGGTCAACAGCTATGATGTCATAGCTGATGAATCGAGAGATAAGGTCAGGAGAAGTCCGACCCGTCAGTATATGTTTACATGTAAAATCATCCAACTTTCCCATTCCACTATGTTAATAACGTGTTACCAACAACGAGAAATGGGACCGTCAAACTCACTACTATAAATAAGAAATATTGCCAAAGGCAATACCCGTGTTTGGTGCGAATCCCAAGGCGTAAGCCCCGGGTATATAAAATTACTTGAGCAAATGATGAAACACGCCCTCTCCGACCCGCCTAACAGCGTACGAAAAGAGTGGTGAAGTAGGAGAAACGTGTAAATCAATTGTCAGCACCAAATCTTCAAAAACACGAATAATCATGACCAAATGTTTGCTTAAACCATGGTTCCAAAAAGTAATAGGTTATTAACAATAACCATTGACCAGCATCAGGTAAAAAATACCATTGACCAGTTCAATTGATCCAGAAAGCAATAAAATGCATTGACCATCTGAATATCTAACACTCACATTATTTAAAAAAGACTTTCGAACCCACGTGAGACGAATGTCCAATCACATGATTTTGGTTTTCTGGTAAACGAAGTGCTGCATGGCCTCGAACGTATATCAGGAACGCGTCTGAAGACCATCGACCGGCACTTTTGATATAGTCCATAGTCGCTCCAGTCTGAGCTAACGCCGTAGCTCCTCCCGAACGTAAAGAATGGCCTGAATAAGATTTATCAAAATGGGAATGAAACCTTTCAAGGAACCAAGAACAATTTGGAGATAAGCCTTTTGATGTGATAAATAACTCAGGAGATGAAATAAAACTGTTATCCCTTGAACGTAAATATGATTTAATGAGCTTTATTGGACATGCTGGAGTGTTCTCGAAGAATTGAATAATAATCGGAGTGCCTATGAATTTTGTGTCGCCTTTCGAATACGGAAGATGGTACTGGATGAATTTTTTGCAATCTGAGAATTGAAGTGAAGATCTTAAAATGATTTTTCTTGCATCAAAATATTTTTCTGAATCTGGGATAGTTAATTCCCCAAGCCTATGAAGACCACCGAAACCTAAACCTAACATAGCCAAAAATAACTTGTCATCATAAGATGATGAAGACTTCCTAACTACCATTTCGATTTGTTCCACTGATAATGCCTTCTTTCTGACTACCGGAATTGATAAATTTTTCATACAGTGCTTCATCGTATCTATAACATCTTGATGTCTTGTTTCACAATTAATTAAAGGAAAATTTAATTTAAAAATATGTTTTATACCGACTAAATATGCCTGAACTGATCTAGGAGCTATGACTCGACTGGAATAAGATACATAATCACATAATGTTTTTGAATTAGGAATGAAAGGTAAGTTAAACTTTTTACAAAAACTTGCAAAACTCCTAAAACCACACTTGTACTTAGCTAAAGAGATTTTTGCAATTGTCGAACGATGATCCTCGTTTGACAAGATTCGAAGATCATTTAAAGAAATATTCATAATAGCTTTTGCCTTTTTGGATTTACCCATGATGTCGATCCTGAATAATAGTTGTTGATTGATAAATTTACTTCTAAACCACCTGATGATAAATTTTTATTGATTGTAAAATAAGAAACTGAAGACGCTCCAATTTTTAGCCGAAGTGCTTCTATTTGAACTACTGAAAGACCTATCTTTTGTCGTGATAAATTGTCAGCTGAAGTATTGAGATCTTTTGAAATGTGCATGACCTTAACGTCAGCACCTGCTTCTACCAATCGTGAGACACAGTAACGAAATAAAGATCTTACAATCTTATTTGGACAGTGTGAATTAAATAAGTCACACACTAATTGAGAATCTGAATAAATGAAAATTTTCTTGGAACCTTTTTTGATCCCAAAATCAATCGCACAGACTACTCCCAGCAATTCCGCCCAATAGATATTACAAGTTGGAGGCGGTAAAACTGAATATCTTCCTATCCGCGGACCTGGCTCCCAGACTCCTATTCCATGCATACAGGCGTCCGTAAAACAAACTGCATCTGCATCATGCAAAGACCACCTTGTTGATTCTAGAAATAAAACACCTTCAGCTTTATTGAAATAATTAATCAACCAACGAATATCATCTTGGTTTTCTTTATTTAGAGGAAGTTGCAAATACTTCTTATACTTCCCAGCCGTTTTTTCGTATAAACTTTGAAGCGCAAATCTTCCCCAAGGAATAGATGTACATGCCCAGGAAGCATGTCCTAAAACTTCTTGCCATTGCTTCAACGTGTGTTTTGGTTTTGATATGAAATTTTCGAGAGCTTGAAGAATTTTTGTTTTCTTGTCTTGATGCAAATACATACTCATTTTTTCCGAATCCACCATATGTCCTATAATTTCGATCACTGGACCATGGATTTGTTTCTTCCATACCCATGGAATTCCTAACATGTCGAAAAGATTTAACAATTTAGCTTGTGGTGTTGGAATATGATGTTCTTTAAACATGATGAAATCTTCTCTTTTGCATACTCCCCATACATCATCCATCATATTGTTCATCCTTTTGATGTTGAATACGAACTCGGCAATCCATAAAACTAAAGAGAATACACCACACCATATGTGTGGTGAAGCAGACGAACCAAATGTTAAATTGTAATCAATTCGTTTCTTATCCTTTATCCTCATAATCTGACGGAGTTGGTATTGAAGATGGAGGGGAATTATCCGAAATGCTGTTTCCACATCCGATTTCCATAGCATTAAATCTTGATTTTCTTTCTTCATGTCAATAAGATACGGTGCAAAATTTTTCAACGAGTCGTAGGTAACTTCAATGTTGTCTTTATCGATCAGATCATTCGGAGGTGGTCGACCTGCGCTCATATTGGAGCAAACCCGCATCTTCAGAGAATCCTTTTTCGACGTCATTAATAGAGGTATGACTTTCATCCCTGGCAACAAAGTACTAAATTCAGCTGAGTACCTTCCTTTGTCAATCTCTTCTTGACATTGGACTTCCAATATCTCTTTGTAAGTATCGCAAGAAGAATGATTAGGACCATCCACCACTTCGGACGAAGGTAATGAAGAACTCGGCCAAAATCCTAATCTTAAACCTTTCAGAACTGATTCCACGAAAGGCCGATTAGGATGCTTGATTAACAATGTTTGTAGCTTATCTACCTTTATTGGAGTATTGATCTTAAACAGATAATGGTACTGTTTTAAAGCGTAAGCTGCATCGATGTCTTCGTCGAGAGATGGCGCATCGGGAAATGGTCTTGCTTTAAGACTTGATTCAATAGCTGGCGAACTTCCTTGTTGATTCACGCCATCCCACATGTATCCCCGCAAAAATCTATGTGAAGAAAACTCGTCGATAATCATTTGCTCGTCGTCATTATTCGCACTGGAAATAACTTAAAAGTCAGTGTCGATTTCTCATGACGTAAGCCTATTCTTTCATCTGTTTTCATTGATATTTTTTAGAGAAAAACCCACCCAAAGACGGATATTTTGTCTTTTTCAGGCATGTTCAACTCCTGGGTGGAGTTTCCGACATCCTTTAATGTTCTGTTGGTTATTCACACAAGATCAGATCCCCGCTAAACTTCTAAAAATTTCGAATAGAGAAAAATATCAAAACTACCAACACATCTATGCATCCGGGGACACTTGTCACCAAGCTTGCAGTTTCCAAGATTAAACGCGAAGCAATATTGCTCTTCTTCACGCATGTTTCTTGTATCTTCCACACCCAAACCATTCTTGTACTTATAATTGTGATTATAGTATAGAGGAGAATTTTGGTTTTTCGGATGAGCTTGTTCCCTTTGTCCTGATCTTTGACGATTCGGTCCTTGATAAGGTCTCGAACTTGTTGATGCTTCTGGCTGTCGAACTTCAAAAGCCTTCGCCATGTATTTTGTCGCCAAAGTTGATAGTGATTTATGGTCGAAATCACCGAAAGATATATTTTCTTTAGCGGCAAAGTTTCTTCGTAATGCTGCGTCGAAGTTCGCAACACAAACCCAATCTGCTTTAGATCCATCTGACATAAATTGATCCTTGATAAATTCGGCGTATTTCTTAAAATCTTCATAACAACTTGGAAATGCTTCTTGGTACGTTTTTTGAAGTATATCGAAGTAATAAAACCACTCCTGAGCATCAATAAGCTTTTCGGATAATGATTTGTTCTGTAAAGAAAGATTCTTGTCTTTCCCATCCAAAGTAAGAGGAGCTTGATATCCTTTTTGCTTTGCCATGTATTCTCCTTTAATTCTTCTAAGGTCGATGTATTCACCTTCCAGTAACTCTTTTGATAAAGTTTTTGGAAAATCTGACGGTCTAACAGTTCTATTAAAACCTTTAACGGCTTGTGATAAACTGGATTGATAACCTTTTTTAGCTTTTGCAAATCTAATAGCTCCTTGCGTATAAGACGCTTCTGAATTTGGGCCTGACTCAGCTCTAGAGGACCAGTCCCACTTCTTTTGTTTTCTAGCCAACTTCTCATCTGAATCTTCTGATTCTTCAGAATCGATATCTGTTTTATTTTTCGATTTCTTACTCTTCCTTTTTTGACTAATTGGAGGAGTTGATTTTGATCTTTGAGAACTATCTTTTTCTTTATCATTCTCGGCGTCCAACAGATTTCTGGCTTTCTGTGCCATATCAATCTCGTATTGAGTGAGGATATGAACCTGAGGAGTCGGTTGTTTACTAGGTACATCCTTTTGTTTGTCCAGGACAATGTCTTCTGGAAACGTTGGATTTGAAGACAGGTCGAAGACATATACTGGATCTGTTTCTGATAGAACAGGCCTTGTAGGCGTTGGTCCTTCATTTCTATGATAGGGTCGATCATTATCTTTGTCGATTTTGATAAGATCGGATGCAAATTTGGACCATTGACGGTACCAATTTGGTGCATTGTACGGAACGATCTTGGAGAATAAAGATCGAACTTCCGCCAACGTTTTACTGTTGGAACCACCTCCTGTTTCATATTCGGAGGAAAGTTCTGCCAATTTTTCACCCACAATCCTCGTAGCATCGTAATCAAATGAACCATTTTCGCTCATGAGGATCTACTACTATCTCTTTTTCTTCTGATTTTAGAGAAATTTGAAAAAATTTATAACTGGAAAGATAGAGAGAAATTCTTGAGTTTAATGAAATTTGTTGACAATAGTAACTGCTATGGGAAAGTTGAGGATGATGGTGGTCAACAGCTATGATGTCATAGCTGATGAATCAAGAGATAAGGTCAGGAGAAGTCCGACCTGTCAGTATATGTTTACATGTAAAATCATCCAACTTTCCCATTCCACTATGTTAATAACGTGTTACCAACAACGAGTCTTTCTTCTTCTAGTGAATGTGTGTCTTACGTACACCACTGAAGGGTTGTAACATGAATTTCACGCGCAGATAGTTGGCAGTGACTATCCGCGTGAAATTCTGACTGGGCGTGCGCGCCTCCGCAGGACGCGCGGCGGTGACATCTCACCCACGTTAGCAGCAACGTGTCTGCGAAGGACATGTCCCATCAAACTGACGAGACACACACATGAGCTGAACGCAAACTCAAACGCCAGAGGCCACATGAGAAGTCTCACAGAGGTGACACACGGAACGAATCGACCACGGATGTGGTCTGCTCGGTTCTCGCCCACGCTACAATAGCAAAACTGAACGCAGATTCAATCCGATCCCATACAATTGGCTAGAGTAGGGTGAGCAGGCTCAGGAATAGAACATGACATTGATCTTCTTTGCAAGACAGTGCCTTTGGCTTTGAGTAATTTAACTATGTACATTTGAGCAGTGCCTCATTGGTCCTCCAGAAAATCTTCCTCCATCGTCTGATCACCAGCGCTTGCCCCTTCAGAGACAATACCAGACCTCTCTCCCTGTGGGTGATTGTCTGGACCTTGTGCGAGAACTTTCTCCACCACCGGTGATTGGAGTGGCAGTCCAGAGGCTTTGATGGCTGCCCATGAGCGTGTCCCATCAAAAGTTTCTCGGTCATAGCGCCGTAGTCGATTAAAGTACCTACAAAGACGGCAGACACGTCAGTTCGGGCTGCATAACCGCAACAGTTACATCCAGACACTTACAAAGCACGATTGCGGGCTGGTTGGCCTCGTAAATCAGCCAATGCCTCGTCCATGAGCGTCCATTGGCAATGTTTTTTGTTTTCAGTGTGGTTGAGGTAGTTGTAAACTGTCACATATCGCTAGAATGCGGCGGCAATATGCGTCAGTCGATCTTCGACTCCCTCGCAGGAATGACATAACACTCACCATGAAAATGATCCACCCCACCTTGTCTTTACCCAACTTCAACAACAACTCGTCGTCCCCGAGAGATCTTGCTTCGGCGAGGCAAACTCTCGCAACCTATGGTAATGAGAGTCAGGAATTAATGAGGTTCAGAAGAAGATTGTCCTTTGATTATGATTTACCGTTAGCACCATCGTCTTCCTTGCGGGCACCATTAGCGCGCTTCCCTCGGGTGCCCCAAGGATGTTGGTAAGAAGCTGGACAAGCCGCAATAAACAAATCAACATGATCAGATTGAGGTAATTAAGATTGAGCTTGGAGATTTGGCACACTCACCGCTGAGCGCACCTTACTGCGCTGATTCTTCAACGTTTCTTTGATAAATAAGTATGTCGCAGTCCCGGGGATACAGGCCTCACCCGCAACGTAATCACCAGGCAAGTGTTTGTCAACATAATCCGCTTTGAGGCTCTTCAGGTAGTTCTGTTGAAAGGCCTTTGGTGTCAACTGTGCAAACCAGCGTGAAACCAACACGTTCAATGGTGAACTTACAAAAGTGAGGATTTCGAGACTGTCCACCATCGTGGTGTGATTGGCAGCGACGGTCTTGCTAAATGCCTGAAGGTCTGGTCGGAAGATGAAGTCGGCCACGGCGTCTTTGAAAGCGTTCTGTCGTGAGTTGCCCACGAGTCAGTGCACGAGAGGACATGATCGAAGGCTAGATGCAGAGCACAAGAAGCAGAATTCGAGAACAACGTGGTGTGACTCACTCTAATTACCCGTCCAGGTACCCACTTCTCCCCGGGTCCACCCGAAATTCCTTGCTGGCATGCGAAAACCAGGTAGGCCAAGGTTCCTAAATACTCTTCACCCGGCGAAGTGATCTGGCCAATGATCATGATCAAATCAAATATCATGAATTACGTGGGGGGGGCGCGAATAAGCAGTGATCCAGCCTTACCTCGTACATCTTCTGCAAAATGTCATGATTTTCTTTGGTCAGTTTCAACAGATCGGTAAACTTCTTCACGCTGCTGACTCCGTTGCGGCCTGCTGCCGGTCGTGAAGCGCCTGAGGCTGGGGTATTACGTGGTTGGGCTGGACGGAACAATGTCGCAGTAGAGGTCTGGGTGGAATCACTCATAATGGATGTCCGGTTTTGAGAGTCTGGTTGACACAGGGATTTGAGGATTCAATGCCAAAGGAAGAGAGTTGGGATGATTCAGAGCACTTACGTGGTAATAAAGAATCGTTGGGCATTGATTCTCCAGCTTCGAAGCTCATGTCATCTTCAAATAGGTCATCCATCCCGCTAAGAATTGCCTCGGTAACTCTGGGTCTGATGACAAAGAGAAAATACAAAGAAAGATCACCAAGCGAGTTGCAATTCCAATGATTAAGTTTTGGTTTAAGTAAATCAGATTCCAAAAGAAACGAGGCACAGGATAGAATGAGAATGACAAACGTTGATCTGAATCCGAGCAAAAGGGCACGACTGGGCACATGAGAATCCTGAAGCATACGTTCAGATTATAAACACGAGTCCAAGTCAGATCACCCAATCCAATGATAGGCCAGTGCAGCTTCGCGGCTGCTAGCGCAAAAATACGAGCCCAAATACATTTAAGAAATGAATTCTTCACCTCAGATGCTTGACTAAAGTAAACTAAATACCGAGAATTGCAAGGATCGGATCTATTTAAAGGAATGTTGGCGAGGTTTGTTGAAACCGGACCAAAAACAACAAAATCGACGCAGGTGATACCGACCAGTAGGAGGTTTGGATCGAGTCAAAGGAATGTTGGCAATGTTTGATGTTGTTTCAAGACAATTTCAGTCCTGAGGTGAGGCAAGATCAGACGTGACCAAGGGGTGTGGGCGCGCAATGCGGGATGACACCATTGCCATTCCGCATTTCACAGGGGGTGACACATGTACCCCTCCGATCTGCGGATGACGAGCAGACTTTGGCACAGTTGACCAAGGATGATATTGGTCTCATCAAAGTTTTCAAAGGAACGGGGGAAAGTATTTATTCTTACAGAATACCTGAAATCAAGTAGCATAAAAGTAGAGAGTCAAATTTGTTTTCTTTTGCTTCAAATAAGCTAAGTACATCATATATATCTTTTGAAGGCCACTGGTACACCACTTCGGTGATCACTTCTTGTCGTTACTTACTCGGGAATGTCACAGAGCAAATCCCGCTCTTGAGGGCGATCGTCTTCCTCTTCCGCTTCAATGCCCAGGCCTTTTGGCGGAACACTTTTGAACCAAACTGAAAGGCCTTCAGTGATGGAAGTTTCCCATTCATTCCCGGTAACGGGCGACCAGACATGTTCGGTCACTTTTCGGTGGTATTCGGAATTGAAGTGTGCCCCCGCATTCAAGATGAAAGACAGAGATGCCTCGTGTGTGACCTCCGGGCGTTTCTTGTGGGACTCAGTGCGCTCGACCCGGTAAGACTTTGTCTGAGTCACAGCGCAGCGTGAATCATGGCAGTTGTGCTGCACATTTAAAACACATGTGACCTTCTGTAAGCGCGTAAGAAAGGTGAGAATGTCAGCACCGTCCCCACGTGTGGCTGCGCCGAAATGCAATGTGTACAAACGTCGGTGAGAACCCAAGCCTCCGAGGTAGTTTCTTTGATCTCTCTCATACCATAGAAAGAGTGTAGCCCGTCCTGCAATTTACACTTCTTCAGGTGAAGCACGTTAGTGTTGCTTCCAACCTTTTGCCACATACTAACCACACGGCCAACATTAATGGGGGTGTTTGGTAAATTTTGGAAATTGACCTGTTCAATTCGAATTGGGTCAGACAGCTTTTGGATATTCCACTTGTGAATATCCAAAACTCACTAATACAAAAGTCCCGCTGACCACTTTGCGCCCATCTTCCAGTACCACCTGCTTGGCTTTTTGCCACTCCGCATTGGGCCATTGGTTGAGGAGCTGGATAGGTAGAGCAGGCACCTCATCACCGTCGAGCGTGGATGAGAGGCCTTTGTGCACTGATGTTGCTTAAGTCAGAAGAAAATACACACATAATGAAAGGTTAGTTGGGGATCACTCACATGTAACCTTGATTTTGGTGGGGCCATCAGCTAGATGCAGGCCTAACCCTTCGCGAATTTCACGTTGTTGAAATAAATTCCGGACGAGTGGGGAAGCTGTCATTCACATGGCTAGTTTGTGATCAAAGAAGGATCCTCCGGAGATAAGCATACGCAGAAGTCTTGTATCGGTGAACCGGTTTGCAATGTCTTTCCCGGGGGCATGGTGGTTTGATTTGACAGAGCCCTTTCGTGTGACTCCATTTTGGGATTCCATTTTTTCGGCTGCGAAGAGAGGCGGCGCGCCAAATCGTCGAACAGAAAAAGGGAGGTGGGTAAGGATGTGGAATTTGGGCTTGTTGGTCCATTGAGCGGTGAGAGCTACCAAATGGTTCAAAAATCGTGCGATGACAATCTCGAGGTCATGTATGTATGCTTCCTTGTCCAGTATCTTTGTCTGAAAAATCAGGGATGCCAAATGTACTAATGCAATCCAGCAGTGTCTAGAATCATCGGACAAAAATTCAAAGAAAACAAATGGAGCCGCCTGCAGTACCACACGGAAGTCTTTTCCAAGGAGGCTGTTGGCGTAATGAACCATATTACGAGGTTGAACCTTGGCGACATTCAAACCATCAATGTTGAAAGCTTGCCATCGGCCCTGAATGGTCAGCAGCTGGGTCGGTGATAAGTTGGAAATCATGTGCCTGTACATATATTTTGTCACACCCAGAAGGACGACATGTAGGGATTCAACCGGAGTGTCTAAGTGACCGTCAAAACCTGAGCGGAGTTCATGTGATCCATTCAGTCCTGGTCAACTACACATAGAGAAGTTTTAGAGAGAAAGTGTTTTGCGTACCGACCAAGCGTAGAAAAGGGTTGAACATATGTTCGCCGAACTGTTCCTCAAACCTTTTACAAAGGGCAAATATTTCCTGCTGAGTTGTCTGTAAATCTTTGCTTTTGTGCTTGTTGGTTCGGTATATTTCTTGGATTTGTTTTGCAAACTGTAGATTCAAAGAGTCACGGATACCATACTCTTTTGACAGCACATCAAATTGCTTGATGCTTTTGGGGTGACGTGTCAACTCCCACAGCTCCCTGGTGCGGTCTCTTGTTAAAGTCCAGTCGCGAAAGGGAAGACTCGCCTGGGCAGGGAGAGTTAACAGTCAGCATCGCTCTTGTTGACTGTTAACTTACCCAAAAAGATTCTCACCGGCTGCCAATCTGCATCTATTCCAACAAACTTTTGGACATAAGTTTCTGATTGTTTATCAGCACGCGACTCCACAGTCAAATCACAGATACGGCACGGTGACAGCTTTCCAGAAGGATTGGTTGTATTGGAAATCTCAGCGTGCATAGGGGAGTCACCCATGTGACATAAGACGAAGGGCATGACCAGCACATCCTTTTTCGAGGTACAGTCGTAAGCACGAAAGCCAGTCGTGGAGGCATAACTATAGATGTTTCGCACGGGGAAACAGGTCCAGAACAAAGTTAATATTTCTTGAACTCGACGACACAGACAGACCCAAACAAAGACGGACCCAAGACGTACTTTATCTCGTCAACAATCCACTGCAGACATTATTCGGGTTCCCCAAGTGGGCAGGGAAAAATGATTGGGAGTATGATTTGTCATAAAATGGTCTATCACTCCACACCTGAGCCATAACACCCACACTACATATGTGTAGCAGGCTCAGTGAATATGTGGTTATCATGTACATACAGTTCTGCTCAGTTATCTGCTCATCAGGACAAGTTATTCATATGTAATACATGCTGTAACTTCTTTCAGATTGAAAAAAGCTTCCAAAAGATTGACTACATACACTGACTCAATGTTTTGGTGTGATCTCATCAACTCAACTGCATGTAACACACTTTCTGTTACTAAGACATAGCTTCAACAATATTGCCTGAGCAGCTACAGAATTATATGTAGTGAATTTTTGGGAAAAAAATTTCAAAGTCGAAAAAGTTACATGTGGTATAACATGTGATTTATTTATTCTGATGGGCAAAAAACTGAGCAGACCTGTATGTACATGATAGACAACTATTGACTTAGCTTGCTGCACATATGTAGTGTGGGTGAAATGGCCCAGGTGTGCAGTATTAGATTCTTTTATGAAAAACTGTACTATTAATCATTTTCCTCTGCCAAATTGGGGAAGTTGAATGATGTTTACAGTGATCTGGTCTCCTTGCTCCAAAGCGCTGGCAATGTTTGAAGTGCAGAGCGGGTGAATGTGGTACTCCTGATTGGTGAGTCGGGGTTTCAAACCGGCCAGAGTGAAGTAGTAGGACATATGTTTATTCCATTTCTTGGAAACATTACCCGAGGTATCATCAGAGTACAAAGCTATGGGTACACTGCGAATGGATAAACCATTTGCCTTCACTCGCCAGGCGTTGGGTAGTTCAATGACCTTTGTGCCTTGCGCGGTTGACTCTACGCCAGATAATGTAGATCTTGGTCAGTGACCCAAACTAAACAGCTTTCACTTTCAAAAAGATAGCTCACGTAACAATCGAGTTTGAGATTTGCACCACTTCTGACCATTCCACAATTCAATTTTGGGGAATGAAGTTGCAAATGTTTGAACATCCACATCCAACAAACATTCAGAATCAAACTTTGGCTCTGCTGCGATCAGGAAATCGTGAGGGCCTATGGATTCTACAGCTAAACACTTGGCGCGCACAACCGAAAGGTCCTTATAAAAAAACACTGGGATGACTACGCGCGAGTTGTCCAACTGAGCCGGTTCATAAATGTAGTAATGTTCACCGTCAATGTCCACCATTGGTACTCGAAGGCTGGCTGGTAGGTCTTCGCGCCACTTCTTGGATTGGGAATAACGGTCCACAACCACGCCTTGGTCTTTTTCAGGGAGAAACTCGATGTGGAATGCTACCTCGGGGTTAGACAGCTCCTACCACCCGACATCAGCATTACAGCAATTGGTACCCTTTCCGAATGAGGCTTACTTACTTGTGATATGATGTCTGTGACTGAGAGGGTAAAGCAGGGATTTCCAAGCGGACTTGTTCGTTCCAAGATCCTCAGTCCCAGGCGGCCCTTGAGCTCCTTACGAATATCCTTGAGATGACCTAATGAAATAAGGACATTTTTCCAATGTCAATCAGCTTCGTTCCTTTACACCAACATGGAACTACATTCTGGAACACCCAATCCCGGTATGAACTGACCAAGATCAGGGAGGTGGACATTCATGACCAGCTTCAGAATACACCGTAAACGATTGTACTCAGCAGTGGACGTTAGGTTTCGGCCCGTGCCCATTATCAAAAGGGCGGCCGCGTGCTTCAGAAGGAAGATGGCCATTTCAACCAAATGCTTTATATGTACGTGGGGGACGGAATGAAAACCAACCTCTTTCTTGCGCAAAGGGTACCATGGGAGGCGCGGGTTGGTGATTGGAGTCGGATCATTGTCCCCTTTTGATCCTGTTTCACTTTGCTGGTCATTTTCGGAGGCGTTATCCATGAAGTCGTCCAAGTCCATACTGGACTGACCAGCCTCAGACAAATCAATCTCGATCCAATGTGAGGCATCATAGAGCGATTCAAGGTCGTCAGAGTGATTGTCAAATATATCACTCATGGGGTCATCGGAGCAGGTGTTGTCCACGGGATTGGGGGGATCCTCGAAGCGGACATCGCTGTCGGCAGGCGACTCTCGAGGCAGAGAGGGTGCCGAGTTTGCAAAGGTAGAGCGAGATGCTAGACCAGGTGGTCCCATGGTACGTCGGGGCCCATTGGCTTCTTCAATGGCCAATCGCACGCGGTCGATGTGGGTCGTTAACTTGCTGTGCCTGGACTTGTCCTTAAACGTTCGACTGGAGCACAGCTTACACATCCACTGCCCCGTATTTGGGCCAGATGTACATTGCACAAAGTCTAACAGGCGAGACAATCATTAATTAGGATTGGTTTGTAATGGTCAAGAGGATGTTGGGCCTCACATTCATTGTTGTTGGCTTGTACATAAGCTGCTGCAGCTGATGACATGGTCGTGTTGGGATACGTTGGAACGGAAATCAGGAAGATCAATTGGGAGTAAGGAAGGCAGAGTTCGGAAGAGTTGATAGCAGCTGCGGGTGTCTCAAAGCATGCGAAGAGCGTCCGACTGGAGTGTTGTCTCCGGTTGGACATCTCTGAGGGCGGAACATGTGTGATTCCATTGGCTGCATGAGGGTTTGTTTCATGGGCGTAAGTACAACTTTGTGGGGAGAAAAAAAGAATACGTCGGGAGCGGCCGTGGGCCTCGGCGCCCAGGTCAAGGCAGACCAATTTCAAAAGATTGTTTTAATATTTGAGAATTTGAAGAGGAGGTCATTACTCGTGATGATCATGGGCCATCGATGTGTATCTGACGCTGTGTTCGGTATCTTAGGAGCTCTGGGTGAGAGCAGCGTGTCAAGGTCCTCAGCTTTGAGCACGTGGGCAATATATGAAGTTCGTGTGGTGAGGATGGATGGTCATCCGTGCCCGTGTGCCCGCCGTGATACTCGCGGTAATCTGATGGTGCGCTGTTTCCCGGGGTACACCCAAGAAAAATCCTGTCCAGGGGGCGGGGCTGGAAAAATCCTGCTTCTCACGTATATTCTCTCAAAAACCCTTTAGTGGTGTAGTTCTGAACCTTGCTCATGTCCTTGCCCTTCTCGTATGTCTATTCAGGCATGAAAGACCGCAAAACCGGACGAAGCCGTGGCTTTGGCTTCATTACCGTGGGCTTGCTTTTATCGCCTCAATTGACAACTAGTCACCTTTTATCAACCCCCATCACAAACCCACCTACCTCAACATCATAGTCTCTTTTACCTATAGTAGTAGCAATTGTCATCTCAACCTTGTGGGTAGTTTCCTCTGCCTTTTCCGGTGTTCATCATCGTGGGTTTTATTATTGTATCAAACATCAATCTTTAAATACCGCAACGTAGAAGCCAGAAGTGATTGGCCAATTCATTCAAATGATTGTTTTGGAAACTAATCTTGAGATGACAAAACTAATGCAACATTATTAGTATTACGATATGTTGTTGTCAATTGGTTCTTCTTCAAGATTTGGTCTTTTCTCTCGCGTTCTGGAGCTCCTCTCTCTCATCAGGCTTGTATTAGAATTGTTGTATCTGACTTGTAGATAACGGAATGTGATTGTGAAATCAAGTGTTTAATTTGTCAAAATTGTGTGTCCTGAGCTGAGCTGAGCCCACCCGACCGATATCCAAACGCCTACAAATGACCGGGAAAGTGAGTCCAAGGGCTAAAAAAACCGGCAATTGTGTTGGGCCATCGAGCCAGCTGACCGTCGAAAGCCAGATTACAGCTGGTCTGCAGGCAAAAACCAGCCGGCCTGCAGGCGAACCAGCAGGCGCCTGGCAGACGTCTTGCGTGAGGGCCATCTGCAGACGGCCTGCCCCTACGCAAGCGCTGGCGGTCTGCGGCTGGCCTGCCATGGCCGACTGTAGCCGGCCAAGACGCCTCTGTGGTGTAAACCTTGACCGGTCTCACTGCACTGACCCGGTGCTGATCCGGAGAGGCTGGGCTTGCCCGGGGCCTGTGGAATCACAAACCGGGTCAACCCTGTCCGGTAGCTCAGACTTGACAATCAGGTGATGGGCAGGAGTCCAGGTGCGCCCGCACGGTGCGTTGCACCTGTTGCACCCTCGAGGTCAGAAATGGGGGGGTGCGAGGGGTGCGAGGGTATGAGGAACCCTAAGTCACCGGAGGGAGCAGAATCAGGTTAATATGTGTAGTGGTGATATCATAACCTTGAAAAACTTTTGTTTATCCCAAAGAAATCAATACCTACACCACAATCAAGTCGAAATACGGCATTTATTTGTTGTGGCGGAGCCCTCAGAATCAAAGTGGATTCAACCAAACACAAATCACGGGGCTTGCTGGACTGGGTTTCTTATGTACAACAGAAATTGGAGACGACAAAAGCAAGCGACATGAGGCTAAGTGTACCTACTGCAAAGAAGAATGGTTTAAGTTATGACTTGGCTCTGAACTAAAAAATTATGATTTCAAGAGGGGGTGCAACACACCCCTTGCAGCACAGGGGGTGTGAGGCAAAATTTTGGGTTGAAATTCCGCGCACTGGTGCGCCAGATTTTGAAAAAGACGCGCCCACCACCTGACTTGACAAGAGCTGCTTATAAAAACCCCAACCGTCCATGAGATTGACACCGGATTGTCTCAAATCTTTAAATTCTATGCCCATCATCATGCATCCTTTGATTTGGTGTAATCATATGAGGAACACTAGGAGATTGCTCTAGTCCATGCCCACAGATGTCAAGAAATCTCTCTAGACGTTTGCGGCCTACACTGTGCGTTAACAGTTGACAGCTCAGGATGTCCCTTCTTCATCCTCCCCAATGAAATTGCGCAGGTGACTGCAAGATATCCTTGTGATGTCTTTTGGGTTCTAGCTGTCAACAATTTGAGTTTGTCCACTCTCAGCTCTGTGATCTCTTCTGAGAGCACAGATATGTGGTCATGTTTGAATTGTGTGCAAAGGTTGTCACCGTAATCTACATTTACTGGTTGTCCTGGGCAAACCAAAAACTTCTGCAAAAAAGAGTGTTGGGTTTCTTGAGGGGGGGCCTCTGCTCAAATTGAGCTTGGGGGGTAGGACTACCAGGAACTGGAGATGGGAAGGCTCTTCCCCTTGACTTGGGGCAATGTCCTGAGCCTGAGCCAGCCCATATACGGTGTCCAGAGGCAAGTCCTTACCGGTCTTCCCTGCTCTATGAGCACTGAGCCTGTTAAAATACAATTAAGACAGTTCCAGGAGTAGCACTTATGATAGCAGGCTAAGGTGTTATGATGTTATGTTGAAACTGTGTAGTGGTAGTAGGACTCAGTCTCTTAGTGACTTTTGTGTTTGACAGTCCAATATCCCAATCAATGTTATTGACAATCTTCCCCAATTTGTTTTGTTGTCCATGATTGAAAATCTTTTGTATAGTCTTGATGATTGTTCCCCCTTTCTTACTCTCATTCATCATCTGTTGGAAGGAGAGTGAGTTGTTTCCTTATGTTTCTCATCATAGCTACTTTACTGATTTGACCACACTTGTACATTGGAAATCCCTCAAATAATTAGCCACAAGTTTATCACTCACACTTTTGTTTCCTCAAATTTAAAACTTTCCTCCAAGCCTTTGGGTACATTTTTATCATCTACAGTCATCCCTCAATGTAAGCATAGAGTTTGGCGCAGGGAACTCCATGCTAACAAGGTGAGATGCATACTCGCGAAGTAGGCATAATTCATGATGTAAGCATAAAACAAACAATTTTATGCTTACATGCTGGTTTTTTGGTCAGAATGGCAGAATTTTGTATTTAACAGCATTGGATTGGTGTGTAAAGGTCATACAAAGGTATAGGGCATGTACAGTATGTAGAATAGAAACATGAAATGATGCTCTTCAAGTGAGGAGGAACAGCTCAAAACCAGGAGCGAGCAATGTAGGCAGTGTGTAGAAAAAAAAGAAAAAAAGGATGAGATCTTCAAATGAGGAGGAACAGCTCACAAGTCAAAACCAGGAGCGAGCAACGTAGAGAGTGTGTAGAAGAAAAAAGAAAAAAAAGGATGAGAACAATGTTGATGAAGAAGGATGTAGTTGAGATGAGTGAAACAAAATGCCTTTAAAGATTTAAATGGAACAAAAAGAAATAATATGTATCACATATACATATGTAAACAAAAAGAACACAACAATTGTTAGGTATATCTCACATTACTCGACTAGTTTACACAATTAGACACTTTACCTAGTGTTATTGTACGTACTTATCACAACTATGTAAGCATATGCACCCTTGATATGGTGCCATATGCTTACATGCACACTTTTTTACTCGCTTTGTAAGCATAAAACATGTTTTTTAGCAGAACCCCATATGCAATACTCATTATGCATCAAGGATTTTTTTTGCAGGCACTCTGCGTTCCCAAAAAATTGGCGCAAACTTTCCAATCCTTATAGCGTGATATGCATATATACTAGTTGCATACATCAAGGGATGACTGTAACATTACTTACAAGTCCTCATTGTCTTACTTGTCTTTATGTTTTTCTTTATTTTCTTTTTGTGGTTTTAGGTCAGTTTGAGTAAGGTCTGTATACCTTTGAACTGAGGGAAGGGTGCCTATATTAGGCACTGATTGTTTAGGTACACAGTGTTATTATCATTTACATGGCAGTGAGAGTGGAAAATTGATCCAACAAATTTGTTATCCTTGATTTATGAGCAACAAGAAATTGATTGTACCTCTAGAACCATCACCTTCTCCAAATTTATCCGTATCTTCAGAAGAAGAATTCCATTCTACGTTGGAAGTTGATTCAACCAGTGAACAGACTTGCATAAGAGTCACCAATGTTGTCATTTGCACCTCCTCCTGGAGCCACTACTACAAACATAACTACTATCATGCCATCAACCTTTGGTAGTAGAAGATTTCAACTAGTGTTGGAGCTGGAAGATCTCCAAGCCAAGAGACCAACGATGCAAACTAGAGAGGAACAAAAAAATCTATTGAGATTGCCTCAAACCATTGTATTAGCAGAGACCAAAGCTCATGATCTAGCTCAAGAGCTAGGCACCAAGCTCCTTGCTGCCCGAGGTGAGCTTGGTTGTTTGATTTCGTTGATTGACCTTATTTAATCTTATTGGAACATCTTAGATGGCAACAAAACAGCGCTCATCGCTTTACAAATTGCAAAGTCTAACCTTTACGAGGCTAAGGTAGGATTAGTCGAGCAGCAACGACGAGCCCATCTTCACACAGGTGAGTTTTGAGGGTTTTGATTAGAGGAAGGAATTGCTGATGTTGGAATACGAGATTTTTTAGGTACTACAGATCAGGCTTATAACAATCAGCAACATAACAAAAAAAAGAACCTGCCACAGAAGAAATACAGGACCTATCACCGGCATGTTTTGAAGTACAACTCACAACCACGACGTAGGCGCCGGGATATGTTATGTGATCCCACGTATGAAGAGCTGTTGTCAATGGCAGTGACAGACGGCTTCTGGGATTTGGGTGGATTGAGCCATCCTGACGAAGAGTGGGCATCAAATGATCACACGCGAGAGGGTATCCAACTTTATCTACTGTTGAGAGCAGCTAAAGAGGAAATCAAACGTATTGCTCGAGAGACTTGTCAACTTATCTGGTGGGCGCTGGAATACCAAGTGAAGATTGATGACGTCCGGCGCAAATTATTGTTGACAGAGGGTAAGTTGTTTATTTGATCTCCAAAGATATTGATATAAGTTTTTGATGTCTTTCTCATGATCGGCCTGACAGATGTGGGTAGAGCTGCAATTATGAATCGACTACACTGGGCACTTGTTCAGACTACTTCTTGCTTATGGATGATGTGGGATATTGGGTTGGCAGACGTGCTGAGATGGACAGCAGAGTTCTTTGAAGGAGCTTCTGATCTTGATCCACAACTACTGGCTCACTGGAAAATGATGAAATCACATACAATGAACGACTGGGCTGGAGTTGTTGATATGCCACACTTATTTCACAGCCCCCATCTACTGGGCTCTGGCAGGCCAGTGACTACCACGGAATTATGAAAGATTCATGAAAGCTTCAGAAAGAATTGACAGAAGCTTCATGCAAGCTTCAGGAAAGCTTAAAAAGAGCTCAAGATGATGCCTGAACACATCTCAACAGGTCTCCAGACCAAAACACAAATTATGTGGCTGCTGACTGGCAAACTTGAGGGACCCATGACCTTCAAGAAACATTTTGTGTGCCTCAACTCTCAGAGATGGAACGGATGTATCACAGCAAACATTTTCTGTTTTTTACCAGACCACCCAGAACTGCCCTCATAGTTGCCTCAGCAACATATGTCAAGGAGTCCTTGGATGCCCCCTACAAGGAAAAGCGCACCCAAAGATACCTCTGAGGCAAATTTTGGCCATCACAGTTGCCTTGGATTGGACCCTCTGCCGGAGCTTCCCTTGGAGTGGAAGTCCAAGAACTCCTCATATTTTTGCATATATGCTGGCTGTGCATATATGCCTCATGAAGTGAATGGAAGTTGTGACATGTTTGACAAATGGGAATCAGGGCTGGTTGCCCAAGGAAGATGGATTTGGGAACAACACCCAAAATAATCGGATTGAATGTGACTTTTCAGACACTTTGCATGTCGTAACCAGGGGCATACATATCTGACCAAATACCCAATACGATATGAAGACCAAAAAAATCTTGCAGCTCATATTGTATTGCCCAAACAATAACAGTGGATAAAATATGGAATTTGTAGCAAAAGTGCCATTTCAACTGCAATTGGGGTTCAAAGCAGTCAATTTATGAGGTGATCTCATGTCGGTTCAAGCCTGGATATCGTATTGCCAATACCCGACATGAAAAAAGGTGCTCCACATGTGGGTTCAGCTGAACCAATATGAGAAAATCCAACTTTTTGTGTCAGATTGCCAATACGATACCAATAAGGTATCAACATCTGTGTTGTATTGGTTTGATCAGTCATTGTTGGGAGAGAATGCCAGAGGCCGGTTATGAAAGGTGTTCATCAGAATTCAATCAGAAAAGGATCAAGCAACAAAGGGAGC